ATCAATTAGAGGTAAAAAAAAAAAAAAAAAAAAACAACAAGAACAACAACATTTTATAAATGATTTTATGAGTTTAAATTGAACCCTTGATAATTGTCCAAAACCAGTCAGTGAATCATACTTCAGAGTTGTACCATCAGGTGTCATTTATGTATACATTATCCCATGTCTTTTACTATTAACCTGCTAGTTTATAGTTTTGTTTATTGATTTTTATACAGTGGCCACAGACACAACAACACTTTATTACAACATTTTAACTAAGTAACATCTACACTTTAGATTGAAGATTCTGGCAATCTAGAAATAACACAGAGCTTTAAAGACTATTTCATATGGCAACCTGTTGCAAGCTTTGGGTGCTTCTACTCTTTTGGAAAGCAAAACCCATTGCAGTGCAGAGTAAAGTGGAGCACGACGACGCGGGAGGCTGTTAAACGTACTGTGATTTGTTTAAATAGACGTCAGTGACAAATGGCTGCGAGTAACAAAAGCTTTAAACAACAGCAGAGTGCAGGAGTTTCATTACATGCTGCAGAGAACATAACACACCACACACACGTTCACACTGCTATACCTGTGAGGACCCTCAGTGACATGAGCAATCCCCCTGGTCCCTTATCTGAACCGAAACATAGTTCTAACCTCAACCCTAAAACTAACACTTTTTTAAAACATCCCTTTGAAGTACATAGAAACACACACACATACAATTTCTACCTCTGAACAGATAGCACTCAGCGACAGAGGGGTGAAAGAAAGGAGTGCAGACAGAGGAATAAATTAAAGACTTATTGCTTCATTGGTAGAATTACTGTAAACAAATGACACGGTGTTGGATAGAATTAGTCTTCATGTGTCTTCGAAGTAAGATCACATTTCCCATCAGCCCAGTTGCCTCCTTTCCCTTCTTCCTCCCTATAGAGGATCTATTTGCTCAGAAGAGCGTGTTTAAATGATACACCAAACATTTTAAGTGGTAAACTTTACCTTCCTCATTATTCATGTCAGTGAGAGCTTTTGCTACACCAATCAACCTAACTTTAATCAGCTTAACAAAGATCATGTGATACAGAGACACGGAGAGAAACTGAATTTAATCATAATTTTAAAATGTAGACTAAGCAGAACTTCCTGAAAAATAAAATATATATAGAAATGAAATGCATAAAATATAATGTATAAAGTTTATATATTACATTATAAACTATATGAGACAAAGATTCAGATAAAGGCAGAGGAGTGCGCAGACAGACAGACAGACAGACAGACAGACAGACAGACAGACAGTCAGTGACAGACATTAAAGTGCTTACATGCAGAGAATAATAAATGAGGCTGTTTCCTTTGATTCTGGAAGTCATTTACAGCATTGATTGTTTGTTGGCTGTATGGACAGCAGAAAGGCCGGCTATTGGCTCAGGTCATCACCTTATAAACGCACTCAACGCCTCCTCAATACAGTCACACTGCATCACCACGGATGGATGGAGGGATGGATTAATAATGAACACCCAGTGAGGCTGAGGGAGATCGACTCATTTTTCCTGCTGATTGTAGCTGTGAATTTATCAGTTGATTTATTTTCTTTCATTTTTTTTTTTTTTTAATTGTTACGCTGATCTTACACTGGAAGTTCAGACGTGAAAGTCTTAATTTCTTCATTTTTATATACAATGGACTAGTCAGTCTCACTTCTTTTTTAACAAATTGAATAAATATACTAATCCAGAAAACTCCGACAGATTCATTATGTCAGTATGTGCCCCTGATGGGTTTTGTTGGTTATGCTCTGTCTCTGGTGCCCTGAATGAAGCATACACAGGCAGATGTTCAAATCTCCTACTGCTGTTGTGAACAAGATAACTATATCAATAATGATCCACCAAGTTTAACAAGTTTCCCATTTTTACTATAGAGCTACAGTTGATAGGGAAATAAAATAATGGCTTAGAAAAGAAAAAAAAAACAGTTTTCTTTTCTGTACACTAGTCTACTGTACTTTTTTTTATACTAGCTGGTCTTAAGGTTGGATTCAGTGTGTGTTGGAGTCGGTGTCTAGTTTAAATTTTGGATTAAAGCCTCACCAATGCCGGTCTGGTGAAATATAAGGTTTATCCTGAGGGTGGCACTAGAGAAGAGGTCATGGGGTCATTTCATTCTCTGGGGAATTTGATAAGAAAATTTCATGGAAATCTGACAATTCAATTTTAATATTTCATGTGTAAAAGTGGAACTTATGGCCAAAATCATTAGGATTCTTCCTTTGGCGATCATGAATATCATTAGAAAATTGTTATTGCGGTCTGGTCTGTCGCTCTGGACGGACTGATAGCACCATCTTTATGCCCTGCCACAAGAGCAGAAAAAAAGGAGACTTGGTTTATGCTTCATGTTCATGCTTCATGTGCTATCTTCCACTGTCGCTCTGAAAACGTATTTTTAGACCTCAGAACTTGTTTTAATGGCTAAGACATTGGCAGGCGGTGCAGCGAGGCTTTTAAGCAGGTGTAAATCAGGTTTGTATAACGTTTAACACCCAGCAGGCCTGTAATAATCACAGCTTCAGCCTGACTGCGGATAAGAGGCTAATGATTTGTTGCCAAGGCTTGCTTAAAACATTTCAAATCAACTGGAGTTATTTCTTTTTGTTTGAGCAGCAAGTGCAGGACTCGTAATCATTTTCAGCTGCAACCGTTCATGCTTAAGAAAACTCTGACCTCAAACTGAAACATGATCACACAATTATGAGATGGATCTCATAAAATGTGTAGATTTTTTACTTTGCTTTCCCATAAATATGCCCATACTACCTACAGTTTTACAGTCCGCCACTTAAACTAATCTGTGGGCATAAATACTCTGGAACAAAATCTTATTTTACTGAGAGTTGTATATTTTAGGCTCTCCAAAAAAAAGCTAAAAAAAATTTAAAAAAAAGTAACATTTCTTCATATCAGAGTTTCCACTGACTCTTAACTGTAACTTTAACACTTAAGTGTAACTACATGTCTTGAAATACATGTCCTAAACACTGTAGGAGCGAAATCTCACAGGATTTCAGACGTGACGTGTCTGCAGGGACTTTTTTATCTCTCAGACTTCATTCCAATGCCCAGCTCTCTCTATTATCCATATATCTATCTGTAATAGTTTATAAATCCTTTCCCATATGATCTATGACAAAAGAGACTGCACATCCTTAGCAGCTTCCTCGTCTCCTAGCTTAGGCCTCTGACTGCCTCCCCCTTTTTTCTTTTAGATCTGTAATGCATCCTAATGCTTTTATATCCAATTTCTGTTTTTATAGTGAAGTCAGACACACAAAACACAATCAGAAAAGAGAAAACAGACTGTAGCTTTATGAAATAAATTGCATTAGAAATCCTACATTCAAAATAAATAAATGCAGAGGTTGTTCATACAAATGTAAGTCATGTTTTCTACTTTATTTTACTAAATTACTTTACTAAATTATTCCATGTAAAGTAAGCTTAATAATCCTTTTAACCACTGACAGACAGTGTGAGTCTGGGGTTTCCCAAAACACAGCCAATTATTTAACTGGCATGAAGATAATGGAAATACCTTGTTACATACAGTAGTAAAATATAGTAAACATTATTTAAGGAAGACCATAGTCAAATATGGCTTGCTTTTAAAGATATTTTAACCCCCACTTTTTTTTTGCCAGTTTACTATACACAGCTCCCTAAATGGTGTGAATTATTTTAATTGTATTACTTGTATTGACAGGCACAATAATTACAGATTGGTTGATTATTGAATGATATTATTTATTGATTATTTGTCACCTGTTGGCCATTTAAAAAAAAAGCCACCATAAAAATATAATTAGCTACTTTATGAAATTATAATGCACAGAATAGTAACTGTTGGTTCACATCCAAAAATAAAAATGCAATAATATAATACGATAGTCAGCTGCAACTGCCACTATACTGTATAAATAAAAAATAATAATTTACTGATATTTATCGTGATACTGGAAAAATAATTCTGTATATTGTTTATGATGTCAGAGTGGTTATAAGAAGAACTACTTAACTCTGCGTACATTACTTTTAGTTAATGTAGTGATTGTTCAGCATGGCGGAGTGATACACAAGTCAGGTGTCGTCTGGCCGCGGTTTTCTTGTTCGGGTTGAGACAGATACTTTGACAGGATTAATAAGTTTGACTTTCTTAGCTTTACCTCCAACTCGAAAATAGATTTAATAGAACTACTCAAACTAATTACCAGTTAAATAATCCTTGGCGTGTCCATTTTGGACCATTACAGTTAAATGTGTGCCGCAGTATTTACCACAATATGTTAGTAACGTTAGTAATGTTAGTAACGTTACTAACATAAGTTCTTGGATAAACAATATACAAAGAAAAAACACACATTCAAGGATGGTACAATTTGGCAGTTTTACTGACTTGACCTGGAAATGCTTTTAGACAGAGAAACCTTTATAAACAATATAACTTAAAAATTATATATTGGTAGAGCGAGAGACTGTCTAAAGTCGATCTGCCTGTTATTTTGTACAGAGCAAGATTGTAACCTGAAAAATACACAGGTTGAGTCATAATGCACAGGCCTCGTAGTGAGCTGGTGGATCACACACAGATTAAATCTAATAGGATGTTTTATGGTAATTCTGAGCTTCTAAATGGAAATCTTAAGCTTTATCTTTTTTGGATCCCTTTTAAAACAGCTAAAATTTAAGACATCTTATGTGTAGTGGTCTAATGACTGAAATATAATGGAGTCAGGGTGGTTGTTGGGCTAATTGTTGATTGTGCTCATTTGTGCTAAAGTCGTTTATTAAACAAATTGCCAAACACTTACCAGTTCCAGCCTCTCAAATGTGAACATTTAATAGTGACAGCTATGCAGGACATAGAGGCCATTGCCATACTTCACTAATAATAATGAGCAGAGCACTTCGGTCTGTACATCTGACTGACTGTGTATTTGTGTGTTCCAGATCTATGATGCAGAAGGGACGTTACAGCACTTTATTGATGGTAATGATCCCAGTAAGTCCAGCTGGATGAGGTACATCCGCTGTGCCAGACACTGTGGGGAGCAGAACATGATGGTTGTACAGTACAGGTAAGAACAAGTCTAACTCTTTGACTGACATTTTGTGTACCAGGAGTGTGTAAAAATACGTGTACTGTATACCAACACCATGGACACACACATTTTGCAAGACTAGACAAGTAGTACATTTTCAGAGTCACCATTAGGCCCCCTCAGCTGTCTGAAAGGAGGAGAAGGACAGGGTTGAGGGTGATGGTCTGTCCTACAAAAGTATTTCAGAGCGTCTACAGCAGTTATCAAGAATCAGTAAATCCAGTGCTTTCCTTTTTTTGATTTCATTTTATGAATTATATCAGGTATGTTTTTTGAGTCATTTTATATCACCAAACACACAAATGCTTTAGGATATTTACAAATATTGTATGTGGTCATATACTAAAGTAAGGTTAAAAACTTCAGAATTTGGTGACTGAGTGGTAGTTAAACATTTCAAACAATAAAGCACTGTCACACCCCAACCACTGGGGGCGTAATGCTATATGTTTTCGCCCCGAATCGTTCGGTTCGGTATGCAACATCCTTAGTTTGATATGCCCTTGTTGCTACTTTAATCAATGCATACCACTGAAAAAACAATGGTTCATTGGCGCATTTTGTAGGCCCACCAGTGCTATCATGCTTACAATAGAGAGTGGTCTCCAGCTATAGTATGGAGGTTAATTATGCATTCATGGTTCATACTGTAGCTAGCATTAGCATACGTTCTCTGAGTCAACTATTTTGGCATGTCTCCATTGTTTCCATAGGATGAGCTGGAATCTGGTGAAACCAGCTAAAGCAGCTTTGCCGCTGATAAGTAAGATAAAGAAACTGTGATAACAAGTGACACATACACGTCTGGTATCTTCAGAATATATCAGTTGATTTGTTGGAGCTTCTTCATTGGTAGTTAAAGTATGTGCTGGTAGCATAAAGTATGTGTAAATATTGTTGTTCCCTATTTTTACCCAGCAAATTCCTTTAGATTAATTCACTACCTAAACTGGACATAAATATTCCAGCCTTTCAAGAGTCAGTCAACAGTCCTTTATTCTCCAATTAGATTCCAAATAAAGGCTAAGACAGAAATGAAAGTAAAAAAAACTATTTTTCATAATGTAATAATGATAGTGAATATAGTTTATAGGTATATTGGTTTATTGGTACAACTTTTTAGCTAAATCCAAAATAGTCCATTCCAGCAGTAAGCCTTTCCTTCAGTTCTTGTTTAAGATTATCAGTGAGGATTTAATTGGACTTATTTCACGAATTTGTCCACCTTAAATGGTTACAGTTACAAAAGTAAACTCAATCAAAGAAACTACCAATAATACCAAAACAACTTTGAATGTCATTAACTTTGGGTTTTAAATAAGAACACAGTGTCTACAGCTGTTTCTGGGCAGTCTAAAATCTATACAGATACATTTGAATCATAGTATTGTGGTAATATTGATAATGATCTCACATTGGATCAGTAATAATATAATCATTATGAAAGATTAAAAGGACACTTGGTTTCTGTTCAAAACATGAAATGGAAAAAAAGAGAGACTAAAAATGTAATTTAGTGGTATCTTTATAAATACTACACTTCCTATAAGAAACTTGCTCATAATAGAAGATGCTTATCGGATGCCATACATCAGCTCTATAAGAAACAAGTTAAGACCTAATTTCTATCAGGCAACCATTGAGACACCATGTACACTGTTGTTCAGTTTTATTTGATAAACAACATAACAAGAAAAAAGAGATTATATTTCCAGATTGATCAGGTAAAACAAATTCTAAATAGCTGGGAAAATCATTTCATCTTACATAAAATTAAAATTAAATCAAACAAGACACAGACAGCATTAGTCTTGAACACAACAGAACCAAAGAAAAAAACACGATATTAACTTTGTGAGACTGAAAGGTATTAGTATTTTTTTTTTAAACGATTACATGTACATGATTCAAATACTTAATGATATCTTAAAGCATGTACTTTACTAGTGACTACTGTCATGTAGTCAGGTTTCACTGATATTTTTATGATTAGTCATTATTTAGTCTCTTGTTTGTTATAAGGGAAAAAGAAAACAAGTAAATGTCAGTTTCCTTTAACTTCCAAAGGAAAAAGATTATTCAAAGTGTCACACTTTTTATCTGAAAGTATTTATTACTTAAAAACAATATTTATATGTCAAACCTTGGTTAGATATATAGATATAGAGATGTATATGAAGGGTCGCATAAAAGCATCAAGTGTATTTAATCAAAAGACAAAAAATGTATTCTAGTTCAACAGGAAAACAGTGAAGTCTTTAAAACCAAAAGCTCTCCCAGTTGGATAACTAAAGCATGTTTGTGACATTTAGATAACAGACAGCATTTCATAAAATGCTGCAAGCCTTATCTGCTGTGGCTTTCTCCGCATGCTCTTGTACCCAGACATTGACTTCTTCGTCATGTTTTTTCTGTAGTTCACTGATTGCTTCATCCACATCTTCTGCATTTTCCTCAGAGTAATTCAGTTGAAGCTCATTCATTTCTTGTTCTTGTTTCTTCTTCAGTCTCTCAAACTCTTTCTGATACATTTTGTTTGTGAGCAAGTGTCTCAGCATTAGGTCATTGTTTTTTTGTTGCTTTTGCTTCATGTCCTCCATTTCCTTGTCATGCTTTTCCATCAGAGCTACAAAGTCTGCTGAATATTTTAACCTGAACTCATTGAATTCTTCAGCTTGCTTTCTGGCCTCTTCTGCATTTTTCTTCTTGATTTCTTGCTCTCTTTTCTCATAGGTTTCTTGTACTTTCCTCCATTCTCTTTCCTCTAGTTCTCTTCTGAGTCTATCTTCTTTTCTTTTGTTTTCATATTCATTTCTTTCCTGCTGATATTCTTCTCTGAGCTTTTTCAGTCGTGTTTGCTCTTCCTCTTGTCTCTGTTGATCTTCTCGATGTCGTGTCTCCCACCATTCTTTTCGTTCTTTCTCCCAAGCCTCTCGTTCACGTCTCATCTCTTCTCTGTTTTGCATCAACTTTCTGTCAGCATTTGTGTTTTCAGACTGGATTTTTTTCTCTAGATCTTGAAGTTTTTGTTCCCACTCCTGTCGCTGATATTCTTCATATATTTTTGAATCCCTGTTCTCTTCTTCTCGCCTTTCCTCTTCTCTCTTCCTTTTTTCATGTTCTTTGTTAATGTACTCCTCCTTTTCCTTCAGTGCTTTGTCTCTCTCTGCTCTTTCTTTGTTAATTTTTTTCTTCTTCGCTTGAATTTCTTCGTCATGTGTTTTTTGTAGTTCCTCCTTCTCTCTCTGCATCTCTTGTTCTTTCTGTTTCAAGATCCTCTTTACTTCCTTTTGTATGGCTGCCTCAGCTTCTTGAAACATCTCTGTGGTGTAGTAGCTGCCACCATTTTTCTCCCCCATTGTTTTTATTTTGTTCAACAGCTTTCTGACTTGTTCATTATTCTTCGGATCTTTGTTATTGAAGACCTGGTATCTTTCTCCACAGTCAGCAAGCAGTTTTTTTACAAAGTCGTCACTCTCTTCTTCCATGTAACTCTCAATTGTTTGATTTTCAAGCTCATCTCCTCTGGTGAATATAACAATGATGAAATATCCTGACTTCTTGCCAAAGATCTCCTTGATAAGATCCACGGTGTCTTTTTCCTCCTGTGTAAAGCGGCCGATCTGCACCACCAATAAAAACACATGAGGTCCTGGAGCCAACAAGCTGATGCATTTCACAAGCTCCTCTTTAACTTCATCATTGGACAGAGACGTGTCGTATAAGCCGGGTGTGTCGACCACAGCAATAGGCCGGCCATCAATCTCTCCTGTTTCTTTTTGGCAAAGCCTGGTCACTGACTTCATGCTGGTTCTAGATGTGAAGCATTCTCTGCCCAAAATGGTATTTGCCGTGGCACTCTTTCCGCAACCAGTCTTCCCAATCAGCACCATCCTGAGACTCTCTCTGCTCTGATGTTGATAACCTACCATCTTCTGTTCAGATTTACAACCTATACCCTTTTTCTCTCGAGGCTTGACGATCATTTGTTTTGTGAAGCATCTGGATCCTTCAAATGTCATCTTCTCCACAGTATGCAACACCTCAGAGACCTGCTGTTTGTCCTTGATGTTGAAGACAATGCATCGTCCACCACAGCTCCGACAGAGATGCTGGATGTCTCTGTCACTTTTTATGTAATTAACAACAGCTGGAGCTGTAGGATCTGAGTCCACAGTGAACAGAATCATGGTGAAGTCATTGACTCTAGAGCTGAATGTGTTCTGGATGGTCTCTAACTCACCCTTGTCTTCATTAGTGAGGGGACCCACAGGTAGGACCAGGATGAAGGCATGGACGCCCTCAGGATCACAGAGGGAGATACTCCTAAATGTATCCTGTTTTAGTGCCTCCTGAGGTTTTCCATACAAGGCAGGCAGCTCCACCAGGGAAACCCAACGTCCACACACCTCTCCCTGATTTTTAACACACTCAGAAGGTGGACCAAACTTTGTTTTTCTTAGAATGGCATTGGCTGCCAAAGTCTTCAAGGTTCCATGTCTCCCACACAACACTAAGTTCAGAGGAGGTTTGGAAGTTACAGGTACTGTCATGTGATGAGCCCCTTCAGTGCAGTTTAGATGTGCTCCTTTGTTGTCATTTACTATGTTCTCCATCTTTTCGATCAATTCTTCAAGATCAGATTGTGAAAGATCTTTTCTATCAAAGTTAACTCTGTGCTGCCTTTGTCTGCAGTCTCGTATGAGTTGATCGACTGCTGAATTCTTTCCCTCTTCGTTATGTGTAAAGATGACCATTGAGTATTTAAAGGCATCTAGACCAAAGAAGCTCAGAATGAACTTTAACTTTTGTCCGTCCTCTTCGCTGAAATCAGATGGCTTCGCTAACAGCAGGAGAACATTGGGTCCAGGAGGACAAAGAGCGACACACTTTTTCATCTCGTGTCTCACTTTATCCTCAGGCAGACTGAAGACATCTGAGGTTTTCACTACTGTTAAAGGTATTTTCTTGCACTGTCCAGTAGCGACTGTACATTGCGTGGACATTTTCAGAAAAAGAAAGTCTTTTTTCCCTGTCATATAGTTGGTTAGTATTGTCTTTTTATTCTGGCTCTTTCCAAGCACCACAATCCTGAGTTCAGATGCTGTAAAACAACAGAAAACATTACAAATTTTCACTTGACGTTGCGCCTATTTATTTCAATAATTCATGCATTACATTGTTAAGCAGGTTAGTTTGACATTAAATTTTGATTCTTCTTTAGTCTTAAATTTCCAGCCCCAATTGTGGCTATGATTGTGAGTCGTTAAGAGCATGTACATTCGAAGTCAACAACATGGATTTAAAAAATAAGACCGATATTAGTTGCACAAGTTCAAAAGTGCATGCATCAGTCTCTTTTAATGATTGATATTTTATATACAAGGATATTTTTCAGTGTCACCTGAACCTGTCATTCTAGGTCACAGTACCAGTAAATCATCCCATGACTAATACAGAAAGAATGGATGGTTTAAGGATTCTGCAGATTCTCAGTTTGTGTTTCTTAGTTAAGAAACTGCAGAAAATCTTCCCTTGTTGCCAAGATCTCCGTACATTTAGCTGACTGTCTTTTCTTCCTCCTTAGTGCCTCATTTCATTTGTTGTTGGTTGCATTCTCACAGAACACACAGAATCTGTGATATGTATACTGATAATTTTCACTAGACTTACCATGTGCTGCAGATGATGCCATGATGTCACTTTGATGGAAACTCGTCAGAGAGGAATTAAAGACAAGCTGTTGGTGTCAAAGTTATCATACAATTAGTCTAGTATTTCCATGTAAATATCCAAGTAAAAGTATAACTTATAAAATGTAATTACTGTAAACCTTTAGTTAAATCAGTGTATTTGTTGATTACAACCCCCATTACAATGCTACAGTGTTTGGTTTGTCTGTTCTGTGCTACTGTGGACACATGGCAGTTCAACTTGGCAAGAGAGAGGCCTTATGACTATACACTAAATATATTTTTATTGAAACAATTTCATAGAATATGACAATATCCTATGAAATAGTATTTGTAGAAGTTTTAAATTCAATCTTTTGGCAAAGCATACAGTGTGTATCTACAAAATATTGTACTCACTCTGACAACTAGAAACTGTGATGCTCATCCATCTAATCACCAGGACTGCACAGTTGACACACACCTGAGGGTTATCCACAAAAAGTAAACAATTTGATGATGCAGTCTTCTTTTATAATGCATATACAGATTCAATATATTTGTTGCATTTACTTTCTGTTGAGTGTACTCACCTGTGTCCCTCTTCCTGAAAGCTCATCATGGGAAGTAACAAATCCACACTGAGATCAGCTTAACCAGAGACCACCTATTTATCACCAGAATTGGGAGGCAGGGCAGGTATGACGACAATGAAACAGCCATGGTTGATTGACAGACTGATATATTTACTTTGCATTCGATATGCTAAGATGCAACTGAGCATAAAGAATGCAAAGTCACTATATTAGATTCACTATCAGTCTTCTACCTTACAAAAAATCTAGTCTGGGATCAGCTATGATGGGTTTATCTTCAATTTGTGCGGCATTGCACACAAGTACACCCTCATTTATCCCTCATTTGTTTTTAGAAACCAGTTTTCTGGTTGTTCATCTTGACAACAGCAGGTGAGTTGTGTGGCGGAGGCTTGTTGCTAATGACGTAGCTTATCAAAATGACCGAAAACAACGTGGTAACAAAACCAAGCTGGTGTTCACTGCCGTTCAGTCTTGCTTTACCTGGCAAACGCTGGTAAAACACTGTATCTGCATCAGAGAGTGTCTGTTTCTGTGTCTTTCAGTAGACTGTACCAGAGGGGCAGAGCGAGGAGAGACTGTCCACTAGTTATTAATTCAGAAGTTTCTACTGTGATTGAAAAGGTCATTGTGTGATGAAGCAAAATAAGCAGAGAAGAGTTTCACATTTATTTATTCCATCAACATGCTATTTACATCGTAAATTTAAAAAAATTAAAAATAAACATAAAATTCTGTAAATCGATTCAGAATTGTTGAAAGAAGAATTGCAACTCTTATGTGAATCAATTTTTTTTCTTTTACCACCTCTATAAATTGGATCCTAATCATAGTAGTAGAGGCAGATAAAAGCACACTCATAACAGTCATTTGTGTAGTGGTCATAAGGGTCCTTTGGAAGGCAATTGCCAATGACCAAATTTGTCATGAAGGTATGAGGACTCGTGCACTAATTAAGAATTGACAGAATAAGACATTTATTTATTTTTTTTTGGCGGGGGGTTATTGCCTTTAATTGATAGTGACAGGAAAAGGGGGTAGAGAGAGAGGGGACGACAGGGAGCAAAGGGCTTTTTAAGAATGAAAGTAAAAGCTCCACACTGAAATCCACTCACCTGAGACAACCTTTCTACGTCCAGAACTAGGGCTTGGCTCTGTTCAGGTATGACAACAATGAAACAGTCATGGTTGGTTGCCTGTCTGACTGATTGATGGCTCCTCATGATGCATGATGCTACATTATCATGTATAATATCTCACTATCAGTCTGCTATCTTACAGAAAGTAAATATAGTTAAAATTGTGGGATCAACTGTGGTGAGTGGAAACAATGAGCGTGTTACATCTGGACATTTGAATCCAACAGATTCAAAATCTGGAACCTGTTGGGATCGTGTACAGGGAGCTGAATAACCAGGTTTCTCAAGTTCC